TATATAACTTGGGAGAACAAATGAGAGTCGTTATGCAACACCTTAACATCAATCGCTATGGCGATCCTCCTGTACCTCCAGCCAATCCAGTAGGTGATGGGAACAATGATGACCAACACATTGATGCCGAGAATGCTGCTGATGATGATGATGATGAAGATTTTCTCCGGTCTTTCTAGTTAAAATTCTCAAAATCGGGGGTAAGCTTGCTTCATAATCTTGGTTTTTCATAATTTCACTCATATTCATATGTAAGAACATTTATGTTCGTCCCAAAACGTATTTTTGTTAACCCTTTTGTTATTTTACACCTAGTTCCACATCCATGCATAAACGCCTTTTTTATATTCTGGACTGATTTATGTATCGACATTTCCTCAGGTCTCGACAAAAGTGACTACTTTTGGTGTCCTGCCATCGTACCAAAGCCGCGTCTTCTTCTGTATGGTTTTTTTGCGTCTTCTATGGTTGTCCCGTCTCTTTGTTCATGTTTTGACTGTATTGTAAGATTGGATATCAAATAGTATCATGTCAGACTCTACAACTTTCCTTCTGTTATTTGTTTCAATTATATGTCATTGTGGCTGGTTTGTCAGAATTTATGGTTTGTTCATTTTTCTGTTTCAATTATATATCATTGTCTCCTTTGATTGATATGGACAAGAATTTATGGCCGAAATGATATAAAAATAGCGACGAATATTTTAAGCCGAATTTTGCTATCATTAAAGTTTGTCACTAATTTGCGACGAAATTCGCGACGAATTTTCTGACGAAATTCGCGACAAATTTTACGACGATTTTGCGACGAAAATTGCGACGAAATTGCGATGGATTTTTGCGACAAATTTTGCGACGGACAAAGTTCGTCGCAAATTTTCGACGAAATTTGCGACGAATTTGCGACGGATTGAGTTCGTCGGAAATTTGCGATGAAATTTGCGACGAATTTGCAACGGATTTTTGCGACGAATTTTGCGACGGACAAACGTTCGTCGCAAATTTTGCGACGAAATTGCGACGGATTTTTGCGACGAATTTTGCGACGGACAAACGTGCGTCGCAAATTTTGCGACGAAATTTGCGACGAATTGCGATGGATTTTTGCAACGAATTTTGCGACGGACAAACGTCCGTCGCAAATTTTGCGACGAAATTTGCGACGGATCGAGTTCGTCGCAAATTTGCGACGGAATTTGCGACGAAATTGCGACGGACAAAGTGCGTCGCAAATTTGCGACGAATTTTGCGACGGACTATGTGCCGTCGCAAATTTGCGACGAATTTTTTTTCGTCGCAAATTTGCGACGAACTTGTGAATTTTCCGTCGCAAAATTTTGCGACGACCGAGTAGCGACGGAATTTATTTGCGAATTTGATTTGCGACGGATTTTTCCACGTTTTCCGTCGCAAATTCCGTCGCTAATCCGGTGTTTTTTTGTAGTGCCATAGGATGAGATGCCTCGGAGTTGAGATGCCCCGTGTGTCAAGATGCGCTGGGAGAGTTCGGGAAGAGAAGTAATGAACCTAACGCATAAATATGAGTGTTACATGTTATGCCATATGCTTGCATTTGAACTGAAATGATGTGGAGTAATAAATTAATGAATTTATTGCGGCAAATCCAAATGGGAAAGGGATATCATTTATTCATGTTCTTAGCATATTTACTGGTTGTTATGCATTTACATTGTTAGTGTCAGGCGAAGTGATAATATGATTTTCCTAACTTAAAACTAGTGATTTCATTTACTAGGTTTTGGCTCATTCCTTTATTTTTCAGTTTGTAAGATGTTTCCCCTAGACATGACAATGAAGAGGACGAGATTATGACTGAGGCCATCAACCCTTGAATTGGATGATGGTTCGCTTTTGGTTTAATGTGGGAATAGTAGCGCTAGTTGACTCGACCTTCTTTCCAGGACTTTTGTATCTTATGCTTTGGTTGATTGATGTGTCAAAGTTGTAAAACTGATATTATTAGATAATATCCATGTTTAACTCATGCAATTTTCTTGTACGAGATTTTGAAGGAAAATTTTTTTATTGAGCTTCCACATGCTATTACTGAATAAAGAATATAATTAGAAAGGACACATGTCGCGCGTGACGTTTTGCATTGTCACAGCTTTAATTTTGGACCATGTTTATTCAATGGGCTCAAACTCCAGACATAATTTAACAATTTTCCATCTCAGCTCGACGTTTGTAGTCAAGTCATAGTGCTCATTATCTATGCTAGCTCTCCCAGTGCCCCCCTGATGGGCGCTTATTCTTTGCAGATGCCAATTGAGCTTTGGCAAAGCTCAAGTTTCAGCAAAGGAACATGTTTCGTCATTTATGTCTGTTGAGTTTTCTGTTGTTGCAACAACCTTACCCTTTGCTATGACGGTTTGGATGAAATGATACCTGATGTTGATTTGCTTTGTTTGCTCGTGATAAATCGGATTATAAGCTAAATACATCGTACGTTGGTTGTCACAGTGAATAGTAATGCTTTTTTGCTTTAATCCAAGGTCCAAGAGCAAACCCTTTAGTCATATCTCCCTTTCACCACATAGGTCAGTGCCATGTACTTTGTCTCACCTGTAAGGACGCCTTCCAACTCACTGCACCACTTGCCATTGTAAACACATACCCCACCAATGATTTGTGGTCATCTAAGTCCCTAGCGTGATCTGAATCCACATAACCAGTCACACTGCCATTGTCGTCCCTTTGGTACACCGTACCACCATCTGCCATCTATTTTAAATATTTGAGGATCTACTTCATAGCTTCCCAATGACACTTGGTCATTTCATGCAATGACTAAACCATGAGATCGAGTGGGTTCTTATGTGGGACCCACACATTCAATGACTATGTGGTATTGGTCTAGTGATTTCTCTTTATTTTGTTTGACTTTCTCGACCCAATTATTACCTGCTCTTTAACTTTTCCGGCTTTCTAGACCAGATCTTTTATTTATTTATTTAGTTTTAGGTCCAACTCAAAATGAACTTAAATACTCTTAGGGAATTAATGATAACCATTTTGTTCCTTTGTTTTTCTATTTTTCTGTTTTCAGGAACATGTTTGAAACATAAATCTATTTGGTAACACAATTTTATATTTATATTTTTGGGACAAATTTTTAGCTTAGAAATAGGTTTGGAACAGAAATGAGAAGTATAAATTTTTTACTTTTCTATTTCTAGAACAGATTTAGAAATAAAAACTCTTCTCATCGCTCCCTTGTGGCTGCCGCCCCTCTCCCGCCTGTTCGCCCGCCAGCCGTGGGTTGGCCGCTCGCCGATGTACGAATTCTGCATCGACGCTATTAAATAAATTTCTATTCCAGAAACAGAAATTATATCGTTATCAAATGCTACTTTCTGCTTAGAAACTCGTTTAGGGGATAAAAATAGAAAAATCTATTGTAAGACGGATACGTGTGATGTATTTAATATGCGTGCCCGTTATTTTGCTCATAGCAATTCAAGGGCTTACGAGCTCTTATATGGAGTTTAGGATTAAGCGACATTTAACACTGCATTTGCATGTTATGACAACAAGATTGATTGTCAAAACAAGAAGCAAGATCTAACAATTTTTTTCCTGGGGGAAAAGGAGGACATTGCATTGTACATGAGAAAAATCTTAGAGAAGAAAATGAAATGTTTAAGTGTTGCTCATTTCTCACTTTTAGATGAGTTCCACTATTACTCTTACATCAAATTCTAATCTCAGCTTTGTGTTGTTGTTCTTTTTGTCCTCAAGGTAACTTTTTTTCCCAATTTCACCAACCTAATTGTTAGTGGTCTGCCCTCGAAATCAATCAAGGTTGATACTCTAATATTAGTTGTGGATTAGGTTGTGTCGGAAAACCGACCTTCACTATACTTAGGTAGTCATAATGTCTTGTTAGAGACCGCTTATGACTTGTGGGCCAAAAAGGGTTTTGAGCACACTGCTAATGTTTAGTGAACCTACAGGGTCGCACACAATAGCGAACTGAGTTAATATTTTCTGTGCGCCGGGATCTACTTAAAATAAGAAGTAGATTTTAATTTATTCTCCTATTCAACTTATCTACGCGGTCGTGCACGTTATGAGATAACGATTAAACGTACAATTAAATGTGGACAGTTTGGTGGGCCCAAATCGGCCGGCCCCACTTCTTTTAATTCCCACTTCATGGGAATAATCAAGGACGACCCTTGTATCCCATAATTTTCCTCGTCTATGTCTTTTCTTTTCTCTAGAGCAATTATGGATTCTAGAGGAAGTCCAATGCTCATAGTGATTATAATCAAATTACCTAACCGCTAATTCCTGAAAAATAGAAATAGAGGAGTCCCCTTATATACATTTGTATGCCTTCATTCAAATCATCCTACTGATCATCGGTCGAAATTTTTCCTACCTTAACCACCATCAGTTATAATAGATGGAGTAAGATTTTTAGTTATAATGAAGAATGTTTCTTGTATGGGCATGATTTTCTATTGAACTGGAGATAGCAGTCATTAATGCTTTTCTGCACATGCAAGCAATGCTTGCGAATGGCATGTGAACTTATTACTACGATCTAATTCCCATACTAAGCTTTCAGAAATCAATGGTTTGATTTGATCTCCATCAAAAGATGAAGTTAACTTTCATACAAGAGTATCGCCATATCTTGTCAGATTTTTAGCCCTTTAATCAATTTTACAGGTAATAGTTAATTATCCGTAGTATGTGTAATATTTAAGAAGAGACTACACCTTGTCCATAGTTAACACTTCTGTTTAGGGCAAAAGAAGGAGCTGTAATTGAAAAGCGTGATTATAGCCGAATACTCTCTTTTCAAAACAATTACCAGTTCATAAGTGGCTTTAACAACATTAGGTACATCAAACCACCTAGCAGTACTTCCTTCAAAAGCACTGGTGTACTCACTGCTAAACACTTAACGGAGCCATTTTCATTAGGGTACGAAAAAAAAAAAAGGAAAGCATGTTATTATATGTTTACTAGTTTGCACACTGAGCTGAAATTCCGGGGCCCCCATAAAAGAAATTGACTCCATATGTAGTGAGCGGGTCCTCGTTAAGCACTAAGTCATAGCATTCAGGTCTTGTCACATGTGTGTTGAGATTCTCCGGGTCTCTCTCATTGAATTCGTCGTCGAGGAATTTAAGATTGCGGAAATAGGATGCCTTTCCAAAGCCTTCAGAAGGGAAATGACCACTCCCCATTTGCGTTGACGTAGGCCTACCATCCGGTACTTTCTTGCCTGTCTCTCCGCCCCAATCAATTGCATCGGCTGGGCCTCTGAGATGAGTGAAGAGATCCTCGGGCCAGAATCCTACTTCCATGTCCGAAATGCTCAGCACCCACGATCCAGTATACATATCCTGAAATACTTTCAGATGAAATACATATCCCGTGCCTATTTACCCAAAAGATTGTTCCGTTACCTTCTTTATCTCTACTTTTATGTCATGTTGCTGTCCATCGTAGGTGGAAACTGGTTGAATCGCAGAGCCTAGTACAAAATCTTTATCTGTTTGCACGAATCCTTTGCATTTGACGTTGTAGCAGCCTCTTTTGTTATAGCCATCACTCTAAAGTCCACCCAAGAAAAGCATGTCAATGTTTGATATGTTTGTGAAAGTTTGGTGAATTGTAAGCGGTCAAAAGAGTTAAGAACTCACTGTCCAGTATGTGAAAATCTCTGCTTGCCCGGTAAAACTCCCACCTTTATTAACCTATAAGAAAAACACAAACCACTTATCTTCTAAATCTACATACATTTAGAATGCCAATCATGCTAAAATCTTATGATTCGATCATTCTAAGTTCTTACCATCCATCCGGCCTCTACAGTATTAAGATCCTCATCGGGGCCTGCTGCGAGCCAAATTTGAGAGAAACTGGCATCTGGATCCACTACTGTAGGATTCCACAAATTAATTGTTGCACGAGCTCCGTTGTAGTTGCCATCGGTCAAAGATACTATAGCATACTGACCAATATACAACAAACTCATAAGAAAGTAAAACTTAAGGATCAATGCATAAACAAAAAGTTTAAGTCAAAATCAATGCCATAGTAAGTCATATCGTGATGTATTTGCACATACTTCGTGTCCATCCTCTGAATTGACGTCATTCTTGCTCGAATTGAGCCGCTTCATGCGTCGAGTCAACGGTGTAACATGATGATTGGTATGATTTTGTGGTCTTTTGATGGGGATCGTTCCTTCAGGGCATTCACCATATTTCCACCAAGCTTGACTGAGCCCACGTTCCACATATCTCGCTCTATTTGCTTTCCGATTTGATCTTGGTCTCATCTATTCGTAAACGGTGCCAGCTTCAGCGATTGTTAAATAAGGTCGGCAGACATATCTAAGGTCACGTAACAATACTTCTGACATAGAACAACCTGAATTTCTTAGACATCATGTAATATTGAAACAACTTTTCTCCTAGAACTGCTCTATTCATTTCTACTTTTAACTGCAAATTTTGCATGGAAAGCACAGGATTGAATACCGATGCAAGTTATAGGTGAAAAAATGAGGGGACAAAAACCTGCATGGTATAATTCTTCAGAAGTGGATGATCAAAAGTGGGTTGCTTGAAGATGTCTACACAATCGATCACTTCACCAGTTTCATAACTCTGCAGTATAGGTTCTCATATGTTATCTTATCAAAGAGAACATATTTAAAAGAGAACAAAAAAAGTTGAAATTGCAACTGGCAGAGCTTAGGAATGACCTCAATGGTTTTTACCACTCCTTTAGGCTTATCGAAACCTGTAACTTTGTTTGATACAAGGATTCTCGCTCGAGCACGCCCATCGCTTATCGTACTAATAATACTTATCATCAAAACCAACCATTTGGAAAGAGGCATTCCTAGACTTACCATTACCATTGTAGAGCAGGCCAGAGTATTTTTGACAATGATACAAGACAATGTTCATCCTTATATACACATAAATCATATCCCATTGGTAGACCTCAAACCTAAATCCTGGTAATCATCATTAATAGCCTGCCGGGGATCACTATTTCCACAAGGAAGAAAATGAATCTTCTTTTGGCAAGTATGGATTAGGATTTTGCATTTGAAAGGAAATGTTCCAGATTTGGTAATCGAAAGGAGATATGCATCAACGATTTATCCTTATCCTTCCACAAATGGAAATATAAAAGAAAAAAGCAGGTCAATTTTTTTATGTGTAAAAAATTGTCATTTTGGAGTGGCCATAAAAATGTCACATTGATGGCAAATATATATACATACTTACTTATTTAAATATAATATATGGTAATGGTAATGAGTGAAATTTCCTTAGTGGTGTTGACACCCAAAATATAATTTGTTTGGCATAAAACACATGAACAGAAAATGAATATACATGATCATGTGCATACCGTGTGGGTATTATTATAAGTGTGCCAACTCATAGACAAGTGTAGGGACCAATATACATTGGCTGACAATAGTATTCATCGACACCACTTGTTCGGTTGTCGAAATAAGGTGACGGATAGTTGGTAGTGGCTAATACGAATATTGGCAATGATTGTTTATTGAAAAGGTATTAATAAGCTGGTTTGAAGTTTAAGATCGATAAAATAATTGAAGCCGAAGACACAAATTTTTATAGGGAACGGTTACCGCCTGAAAACCAAACTGTTCGATGGAGCAGTTGAGGCCAAAGGCATATTTTTTAAGGGAACAATTACCGCCTGAAGGCAATATTGGGGACATATATGGCTACAAGAAACCACATCATAGGGCAATTTATGCACATGAGGTTTGTGGTGGTATAGACACGTGGAGGTAACCGACAAAATTTACTTGGAGAATTATAACCACCAGAAATCGACGGAAAGCAGTTACCATATTCCACTATAACTACCAACAATCCACCATCAGAAGCCTTTCTGGCACAAATAAAATCAAATGTTATCTTTCATGTATTGCACTTTTTACTTTTCTTAGTTGTAGCTTTCAGATTTGCGTTATTGATTAAATTATGGTGTGTATCTTTATCTTGGTGCTACGCTTTCGATTAAATTCTAGTATAGTGTCTTTATGTTCTTAAGCTCTGTCGTTGATTAAATTCCAACATTATTTGCTTGAATCCTATTACGTCATTGAGTTTGTAATTTTCGGCCCTTGTCATCGAATAAATTCCGGCTTGGTTTGGGATTGTATAGTGCTGTTTGAATTAGAGAGGTCGATTCCCTTTTGCATGAGATATTCTCTGTCCAAAGTTAGTGCAGGACCTTGATTTCTTCACATAAAAAGCTAAAGAATTACTTTCGGTGAAAGACATTTCATCGCGAGAGCAATTCCGGCGAAACATCTTTTTGGCATGCCTGGTAGGACCGGTGTTGCTAATTTGAGAGGATATTATGCCACGTACTAGTAGTCAATCCAATTCTGATAATGCTAGTGGTAGTTCTCCACCGCCACTGTCGCGACCGAACTCCCGAGCCCTTTTTGATCGAACATGCAAAAAAAAGGGGGGGCTCGCCTGGTACGTGCTAAGTCTAGGTTCGGGACTTAACTCGGGCTCTCCCAAGCCCATACCATATCGCGACTTAGGGTTTAAGTTTTTAACATGCAAGTGGTTTATATCGAGGAGTCGCCACTAATCGATTTGGGGTGGGTCGATTAGAAACCCAAATAGGGTGATGGGAGAATCACCCTATTTCTACGAACCAGAGATTAAATGAGTTCGGGGACTTGGTTACACTAGTTGGATAACTAATGCCCTTTCGGTACCATTTTACCCTGTTCATTTTTGAAAACATTTGTCAGGCAATTTGGATTGATTTTAGGACCTTTCTCCTAACATGTGAGGTGATCAAGCAAGTGCATAATCAGGAACGATCAGCAGTCAGGAACACAACAATTCATGCAACCTAAGGTTCTAACCTTAACCAAGTCAGATGACATTCAAAACACAACAACTCATGCGATTGTATTAAAATCATGCATAATAATACAGCGATAATAAAAACTAACATGCAAAATACTACCGCGCAACCTCAGGCTTGTCTAATTTAAATAAGACAAAAAACATGCATAATAATACAATAAATTAAAACACTTAGATATTACATAAAAAAAAGATTTTTTTTTTATTAAATTTTTTTTCGAAAAAAAAATAAATAAATAAATAAAAAATAATAATAATACAGAAGAAGGGAAAAAAAATTTAAAAATTTTTTTTTTAAATTTTTTTAATTTAAAATTTTTTTTAAATAAAATAAAATAATAATATAATATTAACCGGGTCGGATCCGACCCGGGTCAACGGATCCGACCCGGTCGTTGACCCGGGTCGGGTTGTGGATCCGGGCCGGGTCGGAACCGACCCGGGTCAACGGATCCGACCCGGGCGTTGACCCGGGTCGGATCGGTCAATCCGGGCCGGGTCGGAACCGACCCGGGTCAACGGATCCGACCCGGGCGTTGACCCGGGTCGGATCGGTCAATCCGGATCGGGTCGGAACCGACCCGAGTCAACGGATCCGACCCGGGCGTTGACCCGGGTCGGATATGTTGATTCGGGTCGAATCCGACCCGAACATACAGACCCGGGGGGAGGGGGGGCGCCGGAGAGGCCAAAATTGGCCGTCCGCCGGCTGACCCAGACCTCCGCCGGCCCAAAACCGGCCTCTGGGAACGCCGCCAAGCCTCGCCGGCCATCTGGGTCGCCGTCCGACCACCGCTCGCCGGCCGGCGACCGAATTAAAAACCGGCCTCACTGAGGTATTTCAACAAACACTCGGCGTGCGTGACCAAAACAGAGATATTCCGACCTGTTCCGGCGAACTGGTGGACTCAAGCGACCCAACATACCTTCGGTGACGACACACGGACGGCGGGGGACGGCGGTATGGGCCGGGACTCGCGCGAAACGCTAGGCGCGGGTCCCGGCCAAACCGAGCATAAAAACAGGGGAGAACAGAGGCGGACGGGACCCCGGGAAAGCTCACCGGCCGACGGCGCGTACGGAGGGGCTTTCGGCTGGTCAGGGGGGCGACGGCGACACTGCTAGCTCTTCTTTTGCTCCGGCGGAACCTCGGTATGCCTTCTTTCTCTCTGATTTCTCTCTCTGTCTCTCCCTCTCCTCTGATGCTCTGTTTTGGCCGAGAATGACCAATCGGCCGGCGACGTCGGTTCGGTGGATCGTCGGCGACTCTGGCTCGATTGAGGGACTCCTGCGGCTGTATTCTTCCACTGGAGACGGCGAGACCGGCTGGGACCTGCGAGACGCTCCCAGGCTCTTCTCTCTTCTCTGTTTTTCTCTGATTCTCTCTGGGACTCTCTGTTTTCTCTCTATGCTCAAACCGACCGAGAAAAAAAAACCCGCATCTCTCTCCTCTCTCCGATCTGTATATCCGAGGACGACGACGCCATTCTCTGCTCCATTCAATGCTCTGCACCGGCCTCTGCTCCTACCATGACTTTCGCGGCCATTAGGCCGGTGCAGAGGGGGGGGGCCGATTCTGTGGAGTGTGCAGAGAGACAGGGAAGAGAGGAAGAGAGCCCGGGAAATGTCGGGGAAAGACGGATCGGCCATCAATGCCGATCCCGGTGGCGTCTTGCCACAGCCTGCTACGCCGAGATAAGGGCGGGCGAAGGCTTGCTCCGCCGCTCGTCAGCTTACTGCGTCGTCCGCGCGGAGGAGGAAGAGGCGAGGGGAGAGAAAGGGACCGCTCTGCGCAGGGGGAAGAAGGAAGAGAAGGGGCTGGGCCGGGCCAGACCCAGCCCGCGCGGGGAGAAGAAAAGGGGAAAAAGAAAAGGGGCCCAGGCCCGCGGAGGGGAAAAAAGAAAAGGGAAAGGGCCCGGGAGAAAAAAGGAAAAAAAGAAATGGGCCGGGTCGGCCCAGCTCCGACCCGGCCCGACTCGATTTTCGATTTTTTTTTTTTTTTTTTTTTTTAAACATTCTAATAGACCCTATTAATGCAAAATGTGCCTAATTTCTATATGCAATGCATTTAAATTGAAATATTTTTGTTTTAGGAATTAAAGAAAATTAATTCCTAAATTTTGTGTAATTAATTTTGGGCAAATTAAAAATAGGTGTCAACAGCTGCCCCTCTTTGAAGGTGAGCTCGCAGAGGTTACGTTCAAAGATAAAATGGCACCTAAATTTGGCCCATGCATGTTCAATGAATGTTATTTTTGGCGAGACCGGAGTCCCATTTTTATGATGCGATATAAGATGATGCATGCTAAAGCAAATAAAAACATACCTGGGGCTACTTACCTTGCCGAAGGGTAGGGTAATTCCAGATAGTTGATATTGTGTGTCGAGGACCCGAACCTGTCTTCGGTCGCCTTGACGGGAAAAATGGTTTGTCTAGGACCCGAACCTATCTTCGGTCGCCTTGACGGAAATTGCTTTTGTCTAGGACCCGAACCTTTCTTCGGTCGCCTTGACTAGGGAAATCGCTTGCCTAGGACCCGAACCTATCTTCGGTCGCCTTGACTGGATTTCGTTTGTCTCGGACCCGAACCTTTCTTCGGTCGCCTTGACTGGGGGAAATCGCTTGCCTAGGACCCGAACCTATCTTCGGTCGCCTTGACTGGATTTCATTTGTCTCGGACCCGAATCTACCTTCGGTTGCCTCGACTGGGGAAATCGATTGCCTAGGACCCGAACCTTTCTTCGGTCGCCTTGACTGGATTTTGTCTGTCTAGGACCCGAACCTTTCTTCGGTCGCCTTGACTGACTGGATTTTGTTTTGACAAAGTACACGGGGTCCTCGCCCGAGGATTTGTTGGTTTGCCGGTGGGTCCTCGCCAGCGGGTCTTGAAAAGGCTCAAACGATGAGCACACGGGGGTCTCGCCCGAGGATTTGTTGGTTTGCCTGGTGGGTCCTCGCCGGCGAGGTCTTGAAAAGGCTCCAACGATGAGCACCTGGGGGTCCTCGCCCGAGGATTTGTTGGTTTGCCTGGTGGGTCCTCGCCAGCAGGTCTTGAAAAGGCTCAAACGATAAGCACCTGGGGGTCCTCGCCCGAGGATTTGTTGTGAACAGAGGGAGTCAGTTCCATGCTCAGAGGGTGAACAATGGGGTCAATCCAATGTTCAGTTGGTGAACAACGGGATCAATCCGATGTTCAGAGGGGGGTACCATAACAATCATAGGTACCTGGATTTTTGGAACCGGCATGGGTAAAATGTACTTACCTGGGCACGTTCCTGCTTCTTAAGGGTGTGTCTCCTGTCAGACAAGTTTTTTTTTTTTTTGTACAAAGACATACGTATTCATCGGAGAAATAGACAACTGAGGCTATTCTTGAATATCGTATGAAATATCTTGACCAGCAAGTCAAGATGCTTTTCTTTTTCAAAGGAACACCCAATTTACCTTCTGGGTAGTTTGAAAAGAAATCTGATGAAATACCTGAGATTTCTTACCCGGAGGTTTGACGTATCATCTGCTGAATACCCGACCTTTTTCAGGGCATTTTTTTTTGTGATGATAATGAGGGCTTCTCCAGCGCCCGAATTTTCGTGTTCTATCACTGGGGATTAGAACTCTGAGCTGCAAAAGCATGCTATGTCAATTCCGCTTGGGGAACAGAAGGAATTTTTGTGACATCTTTGGAGACGCTCCAAAGGTCATATGTTCTTTGAGTCTTTGAAGATACTTTACCTGTCAAAGAGGGTTAGCGCAAACATGCATGCATTCATCAAGGATAGACACGCTAGTCTATCCCAGAATGTGTATTTGAAAGTTCATGCATGATGATTTCGCCATGTTTGCATCACCAAACATCCACTGAGGGTCAATCAAGACAATATTCACTCGGGAGGTGGACTTCTCAAGATGCTGAACGAGGGATCCTCAGTCAGAACGGACTTTTCACTCGCTCTCATTGAAAAGGGCTATTTGTCCCGTCCATTAATGCGGGAACATCGAAAACACTCAATCTGACCGTCATCACATCAACAAGGGTCTGAGTTTTCTCGCAAGCGGTACGACGCTGCCAATCTGAGAGGTCTTCTTCAGGGTCGTAATGCAGGTTTAGTCAATGGCTTAACAAAGGTGACTGTCCAAGTCAAGGCCATGAAAGAAAATATTCTGCAATCATCTCCGGGTTTACAAGTTAAGAACCCTGCAAAACGAGATAGAAATAATCTTGCTCGCACTTCCTCGAGCGTTGTTTATAAACATTTGAAATTTCACGTTAATTCAAGTGTCCTAATCAGAAGAGACTTCATGAGGGACGTAACGTGGGCTCGGTTCACAGGTTGAGAAACGAAAGGATCGTTAGGCTCAAAAATGTGTGTAAGGGTGAGAGTTGGTGATCATCTTGGCATTGTCACCTGTCTTTTTCTTCACTGTCAGGATCTCCTTGGACAATTCCCTGGGTAATCCCGTGTTTTAGCTTCTTTGACAACTTTTTCTTGAGGAGCTTCTGCGTCCAGCATTTTCTTGGATACCATTCTATCTCTGTGACAGATCTTTGTCAAGACAGAGTTCCTAAAGTAGGAATTTGTATCGAAGAAGAACTCAAGTTTAACCCTTAGGGGTCGTCTTTTCATCGTTTTTCTTCTTCTCCTTTTTTTCTTTTTCTTTGTTTTTTTATTCATGGGCATTGGCCTTGCTTTTACCAGGCACACTGCTTTTTCATGCCCTTAGTTTTCAGCATTTTATTGCTGCTCTTTTGGTATTGTCAGGACTAACCTAAACAAGCTTGAGCAGAATAATGTTATTAGGCTCTTGGAGTCTTCATCTTGATTTGGTACTTCGGACCCTGATGTTCAAGCTGTGGTGACTTTTGCCTTGCCCCGATGTAGGGGATGATCACCAACTGGGTTGGTACGAAATGAAATCGCCTGCTCAATTGGGCTAGCAAGGGATATGAGTGTATGGGATAGAAGAAGAAACGCTCTTCGTCATCCTAAGGCACTTAAATTATTGTGAAAGTTCATCTGCAATAAAAACACTCAAAGATTAATGCAAATGAGAGCAAGAAAATTCCTATTCATCTTTGTCACCTTGTGAGAGCTGTTGCAGCTGATGATCATAGAAAATTTTAGATATTACAAACTCCTCATCCTTCTTGTCTTGCTCATCACTGTTATCAATAAGATGTTGGCATTTTGGACAAGCTTTAGTTTGCTGCTTCTCTCTTGACAAAGCCCTCTTAGCCTCGACTGTCCGGCCGTCGATGGTGTGCTTGTCTTGGAAGACTCTGTCGAGGACCACCGGATCCGTGAAAACGACGAGGCCGAAGTCACAGGGACGGTGATCGAAAGGGAGGGACGCTCTTCTTGCTCCCTCTGAATTTGAATTCTCCTTGTGATGCTGATTTCCCTCAAGCTGCCCCAATGTGGGGTGGTTCTTGACAGGGGTGATTTAAAGGGAACCTCCAAGTGTATGGGCTTAAATGGTCAAGCAAAGGATTAATGGAAGTGTATGGGGCAGAGAAATGAACTGCCTCTCGTCATTTTGGCTACCGTACCTTATGCGAGAAACCCCTTTACCTTGTAGAAGTGGAATCTTTTCGCTCATCTTACATGGGTTTGGTACGTGAGAACGTGTATAGACTAAGGATTGCCTCTCATCATCCTGAGACACCTCGTTCAATACATCGGAGCAGTTCGACATCATTCGTCGAATTGTCCAGATTTTCACAGGGAATTGGTGAATTAAACAGGTAAAATTACCATGCGAAATTCTTTCCAAAAGATATGCAATGCACTTGGGGGAAGGTTAAGCATTTATTTGCTTTAACATATTTCCTCTTTCTTTTGATTCTTTCAACTCTTAAAATTTTAAGGGAAAGAAATACTTACCTGTGTTGCAGCAGCAACGAGGTAAACCTGTAAGATAATAATAAAAAAGACCATGTTAATGAATGGATCTTTGAGGAACAGGAATTGGGAACGATACAACATTACCCTTTGTGATTCCCTTCATTTGAAATTAAATTGACAACTCCTTGAGTTTTCTCGGATGTTGATAATTTCTCCTAACAAAAACAGGAGCTTATGTTAGAAATGAGAGGATTGAGGGTAAATTGAGAACGATACAAATTACCCTTCTTCCATTTTGCCTTCAAAGCTAGCAGAGTCTTTTCTCCTCTTTACTTTGTTCAGCCTTCTTTGTCTCAGTCTGCTCCTCCATACTCTTGGTCTCGAAGCTCGAATGAAATCCTCTATAATTAGGGGTGCTCCCGAATAGAGGGTTTTATTATCAGCGGATGCTGTGTCAATGCGGCTCCGGTATGTTGAGGAGTTTCTTGTGGATGCTCCGATTCTCGACTACACAGGCATGTGCAATTGCTTGCATGGGGAACTTCGCAGCAAAGCTAATTTCTGCTTTAAAGGTCTTTGACGGATATGGGCGTGACTACCATTGAGACTTCCATGATTGTCAGAATCGGCCTCGAAGTCACTTTGTCATGTGCGAAATCCTTTCCGGTTAGATTTGCCACCAAGAATGTCCTTGTCAATAATTTTTCTGCCAATTCCCTTGTTATAAGTTGGGACACAGAAGTTATTTCAAGGATAGTACTTCTTCACAGCATCCGAGTTGACCGGGTTGGAGAATTGGCGTCCATCCATTTCAGTCAGAATCAAAGCTCCTCCCGGGAGTGTCTTTTTCACGACATAGGGACCCTTATAGTTAGGAGCGAACTTACCTCCAAGCTCAGGGGGTAGTGGTAGCACCTTTCTCAGGACAAGATCGCCTGCTTCAAAGTGTCTGGAGCGTACTTTCCGGTTGAACGATCTGGCTACCCTCTGTTGATAGCATTGCCCATGACAAAGAGCCTTCAATCGCTTTTCATCAATCATATTCAGCTGCTCCAACCTTTGCTGCTTCCATTCTGCATCAGACAGTTTCACTTGGGACAATACCCGCAGTGAGGGGATTTCTACCTCAACAGGCAGGACTGCTTCCATGCCATACACCAAGGAAAAAGGGGTTGCCCCGGTAGATGTCCGAATTGATGTTCGGTAAGCCATTAATGCGAAAGGCAATCTTTCATGCCAATTTCGATAGTTCTCAGCAGTTTTGGCTAAGATCTTTTTGATGTTTTTGTTGGCAGCCTCAACAGCTCCGTTCATTTGGGGACGATAAGGAGACGAATTCAGATGGCGGATTTTGAATTCACTGAGTAAATCATCAACAATCTTGTTGTTCAGATTCGTCCCATTATCTGTAACTATGGCTCCAGGGACGCCATAGTGGGCGATTATATCCCGCTTGATGAATTTCATCACATTCCGAGCAGCGACATTGGCATATGACGTAGCCTCGATCCACTTGGAAAAATAATCAATTGCGACCAAGATAAAACGATGTCCATTTGATGCTTTCGGATTAATTGGGCCGATCACATCGATGCCCCACATTGAAAATGGCCATGGCTCAGATAACTGATGTAATTCAGTTGGTGGGGCATTTATCTTGTTTCCATGGATCTGACAACGGTAACAATTTCGAACGTGTCGGATGCAATCGCTTTCTAAGGAAAGCCAGTAATAGCCTAGTCTTGTTATTTTCCTAGCCAACATGTGTCCATTCATGTGTGGACCACATACTCCTTCATGCAATTCCTGCATAATTCGTGTTGCTTCGGTTGCATCGACGCATCTTAGCAAAATAGAATCATAGGACCTCTTGTACAAGCTTTCACCACTGACGAAGAACTTCGTCGCCATTTTCATTATGTACCTTCTGTCTGTAGAGCTAATCCCTTCAGGGAACTGCTGCTCCTTGATGTAGTTCATGATATCGTAGTACCATGGTTTACCATCGGGTTCTTCAGTCAAGGTCATGCAATGGGCCGGTCTGGTTAGGACTTCAATCTTCAGAGGTTCTATTTCCAAACCATTGGTAACCTGCAACATGGATGATAGTGTAGCCAGTGCATCGGTGAATTGGTTATGAGATCTAGATAGGTAGTCAAACGAGATCTCGTTGAATTCTGAAACCAATTCCTCCAGATAGTCACGATAGGGTACTAGTTTAGTATCCCTGGTCTTCCATTCACCCACAGTCTGGAGTATAATTAAGGCAGAATCGCCGAACACTTTTAGTTTGGATATTTTCATATCAATTGCTGCTTGTAAACCGAGAATACATGCTTCATACTCGGCTATATTGTTGGTGCAAGGAAACACCAATTTCGCGGCCACAGGATAATGCTGCCCATCTGGGGATATCAAGACCGCCCCAGTGCCAGAGCCAGACAGGTTTACTGCTCCATCGAAAAACATGGTCCATGTGTGTTCCTCCGTTGATAAAATGCGATCATCTGGAAGACCATCCTCATGCGTTTCCCCAGGGCATTCAGCCAGCATATCAGCGATCACCCGGCCTTTCACTGACCTCTGCGATGACGTTTGGATGTCAAATTCTGAAATTAGAATCTGCCATTTAGCTAATTTTCCCACTAATGCTGGTCGGTTGAGCAAATACCGGATAGGGTCGTTTTCAGTTACGAGGAACGTCTGGTGGTGCAAAGTATATTGTCGGAGTCTATGCAACACCCATACCAATGCGACGCATGTTTTTTCTGATTCTGAATAATTTTGTTCCGAAACGGTGAACTTCTTACTCAGATAATAGATGGCTCGTTCTTTTCCATCGTCGGGGTGGCTTTGGGCCAATAGGGCTCCTAATGATTTACTGTGAATCGTTAAATAGAGAGTTAGAGGATGCCCTGGAACTGGTGGGATTAGTACCGGGGGACTCATCAAATACTGCTTCAGCTTTTCAAATGCTTCCCGACAATCTTCATCCCAGTTGATTTGAGCGCCTTTCCTGAGGAGTTTGAAGAAAGGCCGCGCAGTCTCAGATAGTTGGGAGATGAACCGAGCAATATAGTTCAACCTTCCCAAAAGGCTTCTGACTTCCTTAACTGTGGACGGGGGTTGCAACTCACATATTGCTTTAACTTTTGAGGGGTCGACCTCAATCCCCTTGCTACTCACGATGAATCCGAGTAACTTACCAGAGGTCGCCCCGAATATGCATTTTGCAGGGTTCAGGCGTAATTTGAATTCACGCAACCGGCTGAATAGCTTCTTCAAAGCTTCAATGTGATCTTCTCCGCACCTGGTTTTGGCGATCATGTCGTCGACATAGACTTCAATTTCTTTGTGCATCAGGTCATGAAAGAGAGTGACCATAGCACGTTGGTATGTTGCCCCAGCATTTTTCAAACCAAAAGGCATAACCCTGTAGTAAAAAGTCCCCCATGGAGTGATGAACGTCGTCTTCTCCTTGTCTTCATCGTTCATCCTTATCTGGTTGTATCCAGAGAATCCATCCATGAAAGAAAATAATTCGAAACCAGCAGTGCTATCCACAAGGACATCTATGTGGGGGAGCGGGAAGTCGTCCTTTGGACTGGCCTTGTTCAAGTCGCGGTAATCTACACAAACTCGAATTCGACCGTCTTTCTTCTTCACTGGTACGATGTTCGCTACCCAATCAGGGTATTGCGAAACCTCGATGAACCCTACTTTCAACAGCTTCATCACTTCTTCTTCGATCTTTTTCGACAGTTCGGGTTTGGTCCTTCGTAACCTTTGCTTTTTGGGAGGCATGTCGGGATTGGTAGGCAAACTGTGCTCAACAATCCGAGGGTCCAGTCCTGGCATATCAGAATAAGACCATGCGAAGACGTCTTGATACTCTTTGAGGAGAGCAGTCAAACGTGTGGCTTTCTCTTCGGGAAGGTTGGCCCCAATCTTCACTTCTTTTGGCTCCTGAGTACCACCCAAATTGATGGTAATAGTATCTTCGATTGTAATGGGTTTGATTTGTTCATATTGCTCCCAATTTCTTTGGATTTCAGCGGGGTCCTCGCTTGAATCGTCAGAATCGCTGCTGTGAATATCTACATCATCAGGCTGGACCGCACTAACTCCCTCGCAAGTCGCAAGATTATACTCAAGCGGGCTTGCGCCCATTCCCTTCACTGGTCTCGAATGAGAAAGTCTTGGTATCCAGTAGGTTTTGAATTCGGTGCTTAAGAGTATAGCACCCATCGGTTGAATGTCCCACCTCGCCCATGTGATAATCACATTTTTTAGACGGATTGTAGTTTGAAAAGCTCTCAGGATTAGGTCGCTTTGGTTCAGTGGAGAGCAGCCCTTTCTTCCGGAGTATTGCCAGCATCTGAGACGGAGGTCCTGGGAGGGGAGTGAACTGTCTCCGGTTGTTTCGCTTTTGTGATGGAGGGATACTGGGTTTGTATTGTTCATGTTGCATAAACTTTGGGCATAGAGTGCTCAATTCCTTAGGATCAGGGGACTCGTGGACATTGTCAGCTATGACGTCTTTACCCTTTTGGTTGACACTGGAGGGCTCCATTTGAATTATCATCCCTGGTCTTGGATAGCAAAGCGGAGTCATGGTGAGTTGGTCTAAACGGACTGACAGATGTTCCACTTGTTTTGAGAGTTGTCGAAGAAAGGCGAAGACTTGCTTCATTTCGGTCTCCATGTCCGCCACACGAGTTGTCATATCTTTTTCAGCCATTTTTACTTGGCGGGTTGGTATAATTCGTAATTACCTGTTAAAAAAATGGCAACGAATGAGTATAAAATCTCATAAATGATCAGTCCATGACTGAGTCTAGTATTGCATCTATCTATCACGTATTTTCTTTATTTGCAAAAAAATAAGGGAAGCAAAAAAGGTTTTTATTTATATTAACATTACAAACGGCGTCCCCAGGGTTCGAACCCCGGTCGCCTCGGACCGTGACGCTACATCCCCGGATACCTCTGGGCCGAAGGCCGCGATGGTGTCATCAAGGGGCAAAAAATTTTATTTAAAGCATAAAAAAACGGCCCGAGTTATATTAACATTTGTACAACCCATAAACATTTTTACAGGAGAAAACCAAAACCCCTAAACATAAATACTAGGAAAATATAAAAGACAAGGGATTTTAACAAAAGGGCGCCATTCCCGGATACTCATTTTATAAACGATGGGGAAATCACGGTCTCTCGGAGGCGCTTATTTTTACGGACAAGCTCCGCAATAAGCGTATCCCTGGTATATAGACTGCAATCAACGGGTGGCCTAACAGTAACAAATCAATTGAATAAGTAGACCGTATATATAAAAAATGAGAAGAGATAGAATATATATACCTTTCCTTGAACCATGGCAATCGCAACAACATGCACATGAGGAGTGAGGTTCGATTTCTATCTAGACTGGCTCAGCAAAATGAAATTAAAAGGGTGCCTGACCGTCGCAGCCTCGCGTTGGTGTCAAGTCCTTTTAACCTCGGCCAAATCGAAAGGAATATCTTATAGTCACGCGAATAGCGGCTAAAGATACTTCTTTACGATTTTTAGAAATAAATTTCGAGGAAAAGAAAGGCAACCTCTACACCGCGGGCTCGCGTTCGAGGTCGTATCTTTCTTAACACCATCCTAAAATGCCCTATCGCGGCCCAGGTCCGGCAGCGTGGTTGTGTGTGCAATGGTATAGTGCTAAATCATTAAAACATGCACAACAAATTATAAACAATCAATTTGAACCTGCAAGAACAAATAACACCTTAATGTCACGTTCATACCTGGAGTCCTTACTGCCAAACAAAAATCATTTTGAACAGGATAAAATTTTTTTGGCCTAAGTCCACTTTTAAAAAAAAAGTGCAAGTCCCCAGCGGAGTCGCCAGTCTGTCGCGACCGAACTCCCGAGCCCTTTTTGATCGAACATGCAAAAAAAAGGGGGGGCTCGCCTGGTACGTGCTAAGTCTAGGTTCAGGACTTAACTCGGGCTCTCCCAAGCCCATACCATATCGCGACTTAGGGTTTAAGTTTTTAACATGCAAGTGGTTTATATCGAGGAGTCGCCACTAATCGATTTGGGGTGGGTCGATTAGAAACCCAAATAGGGTGATGGGAGAATCACCCTATTTCTACGAACCAGAGATTAAATGAGTTCGGGGACTTGGTTACACTAGTTGGATAACTAATGCCCTTTCGGTACCATTTTACCCTGTTCATTTTTGAAAACATTTGTCAGGCAATTTGGATTGATTTTAGGACCTTTCTCCTAACATGTGAGGTGATCAAGCAAGTGCATAATCAGGAAAGATCAGCAGTCAGGAACACAACAATTCATACAACCTAAGGTTCTAACCTTAACCAAGTCAGATGACATTCAAAACACAACAACTCATGCGATTGTATTAAAATCATGCATAATAATACAACGATAATAAAAACTAACATGCAAAATACTACCGCGCAACCTCAGGCTTGTCTAATTTAAATAAGACAAAAAACATGCATAATAATACAATAAATTATAACACTTAGATATAACAGAAAAAAAAGATTTTTTTTTATTAATTTTTTTTTCGAAAAAATAAAAAAATAAATAAAAATAATAATAATAATACAAAAGAAGGGAAAAAAAAAATTAAAATTTTTTTTTAAAACTTTTTTTAAATTTTTAATTTTTTTTAAATAAAATAAAATAATAATATAATATTAACCGGGTCGGATCCGACCCGGTCGTTGACCCGGGTTGGGTTGTGGATCCGGGCCGGGTCGGAACCGACCCGGGTCAACGGATCCGACCCGGGCGTTGACCCGGGTCGGATCGGTCAATCCGGGCCGGGTCGGAACCGACCCGGTCAACGGATCCGACCCGGGCGTTGACCCGGGTCGGATCGGTCAATCCGGATCGGGTCGGAACCGACCCGAGTCAACGGATCCGACCCGGGCGTTGACCCGGGTCGGATCTGTTGATTCGGGTCGAATCCGACCCGAACATACAGACCCGGGGGGAGGGGGGCGCCGGAGAGGCCAAAATTGGCCGTCCGCCGGCTGACCCAGACCTCCGCCGGCCCAAAACCGGCCTCTGGGAACGCCGCCAAGCCTCGCCGGCCATCTGGGTCGCCGTCCGACCACCGCTCGCCGGCCGGCGACCGAATTAAAAACCGGCCTCACTGAGGTATTTCAACAAACACTCGGCGTGCGTGACCAAAACAGAGATATTCCGACCTGTTCCGGCGAACTGGTGGACTCAGGCGACCCAACATACCTTCGGTGACGACACACGGACGGCGGGGGACGGCGGTATGGGCCGGGACTCGCGCGAAATGCTAGGCGCGGGTCCCGGCCAAACCGAGCATAAAAACAGGGGAGAACAGAGGCGGACGGGACCCCGGGAAAGCTCACCGGTCGACGGCGCGTACGGAGGGGCTTCCGGCTGGTCAGGGGGGCGACGGCGACACTGCTGGCTCTTCTTTTGCTCCGGCGGAACCTCGGTATGCCTTCTTTCTCTCTGATTTCTCTCTCTGTCTCTCCCTCTCCTCTGATGCTCTGTTTTGGCCGAGAATGACCAATCGGCCAGCGACGTCGGTTCGGTGGATCGTCGGCGACTCTGGCTCGATTGAGGGACTCCTGCGGCTGTATTCTTCCACTGGAGACGGCGAGACCGGCTGGGACCTGCGAGACGCTCCCAGGCTCTTCTCTCTTCTCTATTTTTCTCTGATTCTCTTTGGGACTCTCTGTTTTCTCTCTATGCTCAAACCGACCGAGAAAAAAAAACCCGCATCTCTCTCCTCTCTCCGATCTGTATATCCGAGGACGACGACGCCATTCTCTGCTCCATTCAATGCTCTGCACCGGCCTCTGCTCCTACCATGACTTTCGCGGCCATTAGGCCGGTGCAGAGGGGGGGCCGATTCTCCGGGTGTGCAGAGAGACAGGGGAAGAGAGGAAGAGAGCCCGGAAATCGGGGAAGACGGGGATCGCCATCAATGCCGCCTCCCGTGGCGTGCCCTCGGCCCCGCTCCTGGCCGATAAGGACGGGCGAGGCCGCTCCGCCGGCTCGTCGCTTCTGCGTTAGCGGCAGAGGAGAGCAGGGGAGAGAAAGGGACCGCTCTGCGCAGGGGGGAAGAAGGAAGAGAAGGGGCTGGGCCGGGCCAGACCCAGCCCGCGCGGGGAGAAGAAAAGGGGAAAAAGAAAAGGGGCCCAGGCCCGCGGAGGGGAAAAAAGAAAAGGGAAAGGGCCCGGGCCCGGGAGAAAAAAGGAAAAAAAGAAATGGGCCGGGTCGGCCCAGCTCCGACCCGGCCCGACTCGATTTTCGATTTTTTTTTTTTTAAAATATTCTAATAGACCCTATTAATGCAAAATGTGCCTAATTTCTATATGCAATGCATTTAAATTGAAATATTTTTGTTTTAGGAATTAAAGAAAATTAATTCCTAAATTTTGTGTAATTAATTTTGGGCAAATTAAAAATAGGTGTCAACAGCCACCAACTAGTGAGAGAACAAGACATGCCGAGTCATCAACGGCGCCGTTAGTGTTGGATTAAGTCCAGAACGAGGATGTGGATATTTCGAGGCAACTAGTGAAGAACAGAGGAGGCAAATGGGGCTAACTCTAGTGATGTTATATACTATAAGGAGAATGCTAGAGAAGCACCAGAATGAGTTGACAAATCACGCGTCAAAACATTTTGTCGGTGTAATTGGGCCCTTGATTGTTAATACCTACCACAAGTGCGTACAAGGGTAGACATGGAAGGTCAAGTAATTCAGCTTAGCCTCAGGCCAGCCATGCCGTTGCTGTATCTACTGGGTATGTTTCCTCACCTACTACTCAAGTTACTTTTGGCTCAATTGGGCATATCATACCGCCTCCACCACAAATTAGGATCCTATAAAGGAGTGAAATTGTTGGCATGACCCAGACCTGTGGGCTGATGCTGACTAATGGAAGTAATCTCTTGAACCCGTGGAAAAGCGGCGAAGCAATGGGTGCGGCCTAGACCTTTGGGCCAATTTGGACCAACGGGGGTAATTGCCTAATCCAGTTATGGTCGGTTTAACTGGGAAAGATACTAATGGTATAGTGAACCAAAATCCTCAGCACAATGCACTATTACCAGCTTTTGAGACGTACAACCACTTGGTGCTACGCTCAACCCAACCTCATGCATGTCCCTAATGCTACCATCGACAACCAGGGTGCACTTCTAATCCTGCCTAGGGAGCAGGAGATTTCACAACTATTACAACATCAACCGATACCACAACTACTCCGACAAAATGTTCCACTTCCATTTCCGTAGCATATTTCACAACCATTACAACATTGATCAGCACCGCAACTATATCAACAAAATGTTCCACCTCTATTTCTGCAGGAGATTCCACAACCATTACAACATCAAACAACACCATAACTGCTCCTACAAAATGTACCACCTCCATTTCCACAGCAGATTACACAACCATACAACATCAACTACACAACTACTTCCACAAAATGTTCCACCTCCATTTCCGCAGCAAATCCAATAGCCATTGCAACAACAACCGCCATAGCTTTTTCCACGATATATATAACAAGCTTTATCACACCCGTCCTTCCTCAACATGTCGCAGCCCCTACTATATTCTCTTTCGATCAGAATCAGTTGGTGATAGATTATGTGATGCGACAATATGGATGTGATATGAGATACATCAGATCTGTCTACAAGAAAACGTATTCAGACTGGATGGATATGGTACCCTATCCAAGATGTTTCAAGATGCCAGAATTCTCTCTTTTCACTGAAGAAGATGATTAATCGATATTTAAGCATGTTAGCCGGTTTACCCCCTTATGTGGTGATGCTGTGCACGGCGATCATTAGAAATTACGACTATTCCCATTATCATTGTCAAAAACAGCTTTCACATAGTATACTGCATTATTAGCTAATTTTGTTTTCTCTTGGGAGCAAATGGAGATGATGTTTCATAATCTGTTTTAGAGAGTTGTTTTTGATATGTCTGTGGCAGATTTGTTGGCAATGAAGTAGCAAAACAACAAATTAGAGGATCGGTTTATATCTCCATTCAAGAAAGCATGGAATAAGTGTCTTGTACCACTTGCCTGAGAAAACTTCTACATATTTGGCTTTTAATGACTTAAGGGAATGAATGGCTGAACAACCCTATTATGATATTTTTCAACTAGTAACGGTGGCAGTCAAGCACGAAAGTCTGCTAAAGGAAAAGGACAGTAGATATGGTAGGCGAAGTGATATGAACTTTATTGATGTGTCTGAACTGGATGACGATATGAATCAAGCAGAAGTTGTTGAGATAGCTGTGGCTAAAATGGTGATCGACAAACCATACACATGCCAAGCCTTAAAGCCGGCAAAGACAAAAGAGAAGCTAAGTATCATGGCTAAGGCAAAGGACACCCAGTATTATTCATTTGACATAAATAAGGTAGACGGGATTTTTTATTTGCTTTTAGCCAATGGCAAAATAAGACTGATTGAAGGGCATGTCATACCAAGCAAAGAAGATTTAGCGGGCAAGAAATACTGCAAGTGTATCGTGTTTAAGAAAAATATTCAAGTGGCCATTCGATAGGGCAAAATTAAGTTTGCAGGCGAGAAAGAAAAAGTTCCCATGGAGGTTGATGCTGACCTGTTTCCCATCATGATTGTAATGGTGTCGGTAAAGTCTAAAGGCAAAAGACTGGACCAACCGAATCTTTGTGCCCGATGCAAGCAAGAGATTGATCAAAGCTATCAATCTTCACTTGGGAGGTAAAACTCCACAAGCAGGAACTTCAATCTTAGATACTAAGAGCGGCCATTGACCGGGCTGGTGGAGATGCTTAACCACTATGCCGATGAACTCGAAAACTGCACCGAGGACGACCCGAGGACTAACTTCTTGTTAGAGAAAATGGAGGTCTTGGAAGAGGCCAGAGTGATTGGGCTCCTGGACTTCCTCCCTAGCACCGCTTTTCTCACCCTTTTGCAATGGAAGGTGAAGGGAATAGTGAGCAAGCAGCCGAGTTTCGCGGTTCGTGTTTGGGACTACATCGAGGGAGTAGTGATTCGGGCCTTGATGCGACACTTAGAGAATTATCCTCAACTGTAGTCGTTGACAAGAAGAGCAGCGTCCAATTTGAGCAATAAGAAGAAGGGGAAGACAATGAATAAGTTGATGAAATTTCTTGAAATGGAGAAGCTCACTGACTACACTTGCAACTCTGAGTACCTGTTGCAACGGAACAAGTTGATGACCCAGAAGGGCAGGTTCATGGAGGTGTTCGACTACCGTAGTAACGTGATCGACATTGAAGGAATCATAGAGGTCTACCTGGGCAATATGAGGGAACACAAGCAGGTGATCAAAATTAAGGGAATCAGGGAGGTCTACCTAGGCAATTTGAGGGAACACAAGCAGAGGGTTCAGGAGGCGTTCAATATGAAGATGTGGATGACCATGTATTGGAAGATTGTGGTGAAGAGGTTTGTCGACTCCATGGCGCTGCATCTACATTTCAGCATGTACAACTTGGTGACCAAGGAGATGGAGAAGGAGATTGGAGGCGACTGCAGGCATGTGACCCTCGAATAGAGCCATGTGTCCAAACAACTTATCCTTCGTAGAGAACCTAGTCCCGCAGGAACACCTCCACCTAGACTCCCCATAGTGCCTCAAGCGGCACTTCAAATCGGCCAACACTGAGAAGCTCTTCTTGTTGCACGAGTAAATCTTCATGTAGTGGCTCATCTTAAAGTGGTTGTTGGGAAAATATTAGTGTGAATTAGAAAGAAGAACACTAGAAGTGCCAAAACTTATGTACGGCACTTACTTTAGTGCCAAAAGTTTTCACAAGATCACTTAAGTGCCAAATTGGAGAAAAAACGATACTTAAGTACCAACGGCAAAAAATTCCAGCCAAATTAATATGTGGCTTTTATAATTAAAATTTTAATATGAGTTGGTTTTAAAAAAAAAAATCAGCCTATGTGGCATTTCCATATGTATATTTCGATTTTTTAAATATTTTTTCTAATTTTTTTCTTTTTTCTTCTTCTACCTTTGGCCGGTGACCGGATACCGGCCACCGGCCATGGCCGGCCGCTTGGCCTCATCCGAACGAGGCCGCTGTCACCTGCCACAGGCGAGGCCCAGCCGACCCTTGCCTGGGCAAGGGTGGGCGAGCCCCGACGAGGGCTCCCCTCATCGAGGCTTGCCCTTTCCCAGGCGAAGGTTGGCTTCCAGCCCTTGCTTGTGGCTTTCAAGTGTGGCCTTGCCCAGATCCGACGAGGCCGTCATGGCCTGGGTGAGGACCGGCCTCACCCAGCCCAGTTCTGGCAAGACCCTCGTCTAGGCGAGGGCAGGTGAGCCCCAACGAGAGCTCCCCTTGCCAGATTTGGCAAGGCCGGCCCTAGTCAAGGCCAAGGCGGCCTTGCCAGGCATTGCCCGGGAGGAGGGTTGGCCGGGCCTCGTTTGTGTCGGGTGACGGCGGCCTTATCTAAGCGAGGCTAAGCGGTCGACCATTGTAATGACCCGGTCCGACGAGGGCGGGGAGTGGTCGCCGGGGCCAGAGGGCCTGGACAAGGAGCGGCTCCTGGCAGGCTTCTAGGATGGCAAGGGGGGGCATGTCTCTTGTCCCACATCGCTTAGGGGGGGAGTCCTGGGCTAGTTTATAAGGGCTTGGGAAGCCTTAACTTGCAAGAAGCCTTTTCTGGGGGTAGTATGGGCTGCCCTCGGAGGAACAAAACCGTGAGGACTTAGTGTCCAAAGCGGACAATATCTTGCGAGTGAGACCCAGGTCGTTACAACCATGGCCAGTGGCCGGTGTCCGATCACCGGCCAAAGGTAGAAGAAGAAGAAAGAAAAGAAAAAAAGAAAAGAAGGAAACCATCAGAAAAAATATTTAAAAAATCGAAGTGTACATGCTAAACTATGTCGTTTTGAAGTGTACATGCTGACTAAATCTTCGGCAACCCACATCAGTTTCAGAAATTAATAAAAAAAATGCCACGTCGGATTTCTAGCCAAATTGACTGGAGTTGGCATTTAAGTAATCGTTTTTCAAAAAGTTTGACACTTAGGTGATCATTTTTCAAAAAGTTTGGTACTTAAGTGATTCGGCGGAAACTTTTGGCACTAAAGTGAGCACCGTACACAAGTTTTGGCATTTCTAATATTCTTCCCCCGCGTGAATTAGGAAGAACAATGAAGTTAGACTTTGAGACATGATAACACTCTTTTTAAGGAATTATTTGCTCTACTACAATGCTAATGATTACTGGCAAAAATCTTTTCTGATATAACAAAATCTCGAATGAGAATACCATATAGCAATTCCGGTATTTCTCCAAGATCTCTCAAAATAAAACAATTGGAAACTATGACTATATGTTTTTTAAAGAAACAAAAATGGTAGTTCTTGATAATGAACATGTTGAAATATATTTGAATAGATACAATCTTTCAAAGATGAAGAAGTCATGTCCAAACAGATACAACCTTCCAAAGATTAAAAGTTATGTCCGAATAGATACAACATTTCAAAGGTTGTAAGAGTGCCTAATGATTGTTAGGCATAAATAATAATTCAAAATTAAATTATTAAAAAATGACAACTACTCTATTGCGACCAATCACACTATTTTAAGAAAACAAAATAGTTATTTTGTAATAATATATTTGAAACGTAATAAATAAAAAATAATGATCATTGGTTAATGCCAAATCTCGTCCATGTGCGCACTCACATCCTTTTGAAGTGGGATAAACAAACTACTAACAATCCCCCACTTTGTTTGTAAAACAAAATTAATAAAACATTACAAATATACAACCAAAATTTCCATGAGACTAATATACATATATAAAGGTCTCTTTTGAGTTAAACCTTTATTTAGTGCAAGTATCTCAAAATTCTATAAAAATTTCAAGTAGCTATTATTTTAAGAAAACAAAATAGTTATTTTGTAATAATATATTTGAAACGTAATAAATAAAAAATAATGATCGTTGGTTAATGCCAAATCTCGTCCATGTGCGCACTCACATCCTTTTGAAGTGGGATAAACAAACTACTAACAATCCCTCACTTTGTTTGTAAAACAAAATTAATAAAACATTACAAATATACAACCAAAATTTCCATGAGACTAATATACATTCATAAAGGTCTCTTTCGAGTTAAACCTTATTTAGTGCAAGTACCTCAAAATTCTATAAAAATTTCGAGTAGCTATGCTTTAAACTTGCCACTTTAATAATAAAAACGGATACACCGCACATATACCAACCTCTTATTTCAACGAAAAGTTCTAATTTAGTCAGCGCTACTATGGTATTATACTTGTACCTGTTTCATAAGCGGCATCACTTCTAAGTTCATATAAGTGAAGTATATAGTATATGTTTATGTTACTAATAACACCTTGTAA